CTCTCTCCCTCTCTCTCTCCCTCTCTCTCTCTCTCTCTCTCTCTCTCTCTCTCTCTCTCTCACACACACACACACACACACACACACACCAACCATATTCGCTTGAACAACTGTATAGTGCGACCTCCATAGAGGGATGAAACGAGGATTCCCGACAGTGATCCGGTCGAACCATAGCCGGAACCAGATTTAGGCATAGAAATTTTTCTTTTTTTCGTGGAAACACACTGGCGGGTGGAAAGTCGATGTGTTTTGTCATGCAAAAGCTACAAGAAAGTACTTGGTGCAGGATGTTGTATAGAAAGACGCAAGAAAACACAGGATACTGAGAAGAGGCAGAGAGGATTGGTACAGGGACAGAGAGGGACACAGAGACACAAACACTTACACAACAGATAGAGACACAACGGCCAGAACGAGAGAGAGAAAAACGAGCCATGGTCCAGCCAGAACGAGAAAGAGAAAAAGAGTCATGGTCACAGTAGCAAGAAAGAAAAAACACGTAATTTTGGCTTTTTTTCTTTTCGTTTTGAAAGGCTCACCACCATTTTGCTGACCGGATGAGTGCAACATTTTTGATGTCATCATTTGGAAATTATCATACTCTTCAACAAATGCCTCCTTTGGTTCCTCTGTGATCCAGTACCCAGCGACTTTGGCAGCGCCAGAGTCCTCAATCACATGGTGTATCAACCATATTCGCTTGAACAACTGCATCAGGTTAAACATTAACCAGAAAACACATCACAAAAGAACATTATTCACAGTACAATAAGGGAATGAGCAATGGTAGCCAATGTGAGGCAACACACAAACAACAAATAACTTGGAACACTTTATCTGCACAAGGGAGGAAAACTTTTCCCTGACACTCACCATACAGAGCAGACTACAGACATGTGTTGTATACATGCACCATACCCCCCTGATGATATATCAGCCCCAAAAGAGAAAAGCACTAATACTCTTTTTCATCCTCCTCCTCATTCTATCCTGCTTTTATTCAAGTCCAAGAAAACACAAGTTTTGTCATGACCTCTTCCCCCTCCCCCAATCCCTTCGTCGTCTGCGTTCTCTGTCATGCTCTTGTTGATGTCACAGAGACAACAATCGTTGTGTGCACGAGGAGGTAGATGTGGGGAAAAGTAGTGGGTGACTTTGGGAGTGATACAGAGGTAGGCCTGATTTGCTGTCAATAGACCTGATTTGTTGTCTGTGTTTTTTTTTAATAAAAACATTTCTTCATTATTAAATATATTTTTTAAAAATTTCATGGAAAATTTTGATTCATTCCACTCTTTGCTGAACACCAACACTTAAATTGTAATAAACAAAACAAAATCAGCAAAAAAAATCTGACTCACCATTGCAAGCTCGGTGGATGCTGGGCTTGGGACAGCACCGTGGCGATCGATCTCATCAAGGAAATCATAATCATCCGTCGAGCTGAACGACTTGTCTGGTGCCATAGAAGGACCAGTGTCCCTGTACATACTCACCTTGACTTCGGGAATAAAAATGTTGAACCTATTCATCAACCTATCCGCATTGTTTTGATTGAGGGAGAGACACCGTTCTGGTTGTGTAAATCCTGTCAAGATGACATGTGTCTTCTGCAAATATCGAGTGGAGTTACCAACAGTCTTTATGTCTCATTCCCCACCGTTCTTGAGACTCAACACACTGTTTCTGTCAAGGCCACCTCCTCCTTGGGATGATTTGTGACATAGATCCATTTTTTCAAAGATGGTCCCCTTTTCATCCTCAAAGCCGACTTGCTCAGGGTTGATGGACTCAAGGAGAGAATCAAAGATTTTCTCGAAAGTTTTCTGGCCAAATAACAATTTTTCACAATTGATTAATTTTTTATACATAGATATAGTTCAAAAAACAAAGTTTTTATTTACCAGAAATTTTGAGTTAGAGGTTGAACCATAATGAACGAATGCAAAAAGAGTTCAAAGACAGTTGACAACTATTGAAATTGGAATAATTCGACCATGTGAAAATTCCCCAAACTGCAAACCCTGAAAGCCGACCAGGCAACCCAACTGAAACCCAATCTAACCGAAAGCATAATTGCCCTGTGAATTCCAAGAAGTGAGTTTTAAGCATTGAAAACAGAAACAAGCTGAAGGTTAAAAAACACACAAAAAACTCCGTAACAGAAAAGTTGCAATTGTGTTACATGCTGAGAGCCTCCACACGGGCCCCTCACGGGACCCGAGGTTGGATAAGGGCCCCCAGGTCGCGTCACCGCAAGCTGGAGGCCCTACGGCCATTTTACTTAGGCCTGCATCGGAAAGACTTCAACTTTAAGTTGATTTCTTATTTATTTATTTACGGATGTGTTTTTACTAATGAGCTGTTGTCCGTTTTGTGGCCAGGTACACAGTTAGGACCAGGGCCGGAATCAGGCCCAGAGGCTGAGCCTCTAATTCAGTTTGGACCTGGACAGATGTTCAGGCCTGATACATTAAACGTTTGGACCTTTACTCGTTTTTGGTCAGACGTTTGGACCTTTACTCGTTTTCAGA